TGGGTTCCTTGCCAGGCAGGCGTCTGCTCTGATGATGGCACAGATGTCACCAGCTCCAGGAGCACATCTTGCAGCTTAGCATCCCTGGCCAAAAAAGAAGGCATTGTTCCCAGGAACTCCAGCACAGTCCTGAGCCTAACTCTTATCCCTAAGCAGGCTGCTGTGTGTCTGACTGGCCTGGGTCATTTTCCCACCCCACTCAGTGAGAATGAAGTTGTGGATCAATCTCCCCAGGCGGACATGGACTAAGAGGAAAGGATTAACTCCAAGGCTCTGGCCAGCAACAGGCAAAGATAGCAGGCTTCAACTCTAGCCACCATATTTGTTTGGCGTCTTTCCCAGCCTGATCCAATAAAATAACACTTTAAAATTAAATATTAAGCTAGTAAAAATAATTGTTATCAATTAAATAGTAAAAATTAAATTATTTCCATTTAAAATATGTAAAGAATAAAAAGGAAAATGTTAAATAAATACATGAATGAAATAATTTTTTGAAACTTTGAGCAGCTTTATGATAGGGTGGCTGTGAGCTGTAGACTAGAAAGGGAGAGAAAATTACTTGTCAATTTTTCTTCATCCACAAAAATAAAGGCAGAGGCCTGACTGAACACCAGCAAATGCTACATCTTATTCCAATGGCTGGGAAGTGGTGAATTAATCAAGAAATTGTCCAGATGAGATACAAAAACAAAAAAATAATGTATGCACAATATTTTTGAAAACAAACACTTTATCGCAGAATGATTTTAGATTTACAGAAAAGTTTCAGTGATAAGACAGAGAGTCTCCTTATACCCCTCACTTGGTTTCCCCTACTTTTTTTTTTTTTTAACTTGAGACAGGATCTCACTCTGTCGTCCAGGCTGGAGTACAGTGGTGTGGTCATAGCTCACTGCAACTTCAACCTCCTGGGCTCAAATGATCCTCCTACCTCAGCCTCCTGAGTAACTGAGACTACAGGTGCACACCACCATGCCAGGCTAATTTTTTTGGATCTTCTTATAGAGATGGGATTTCGCCATGTTGCCCAGGATGGTCTCCAACTCTTGAGCTTAAGTGATCCACTCACCCCAGCCTACCAAAGAGCTGGGATTGGAAGTATAAGCCACTGCACCAGCCCAGTTTCCCCTGTTATTAACATCTTATCACGATTGTCAAAACGAAACTGACGTTGGTACATTTCACCAATTCTTTTTCATTCACATCATTTTTTGGTTCCAGGACCCAATTTAGGCTGCGACATTGCATTTGGTTTGTCATGTCCCCACAGTCTCCCATGTACTCTGAAAGTTTCTCAGAGTTTCTTCATTTTTTATGACCCTGACAATCTTAACAAGTGCTGGCCAGGTATCCTGTAGAATAACTCCCACAGTGGGTTTGACAGATGCTCTCCTCATCTTATACTGAGGTTACACATATAATATTTTGTTTTGACTTCAAACTTATAGATGCTCATCACTAGCCAATATTTTGATGAATCATGAATACCTTTGAGGATGGGTCCCCTAATTAGAAATGCACATCTTCCCTGCATAAACCACAGCCATAAGGTACCATCTATGAATTCTGGATCAAAAATCATAATTTTTAAACTATGACAGTTTTGATGCCAATGGCTTTTGGTTGAAAAACAAAAACTTGGAGATCGATCCAAGATGGCCGTTCAGGAACAGCTCAGGATTGCAGCTCCCAGTGAAAGTGCAGAGGGTGAGTGGACGCCACATTTTTATTGCCCACAGACTAGGAAATTCCCAGGTGGAGGAGCTCCACGGTCACCAGTGCGGCTGTTTCGGCCAGCGCAGCTGTGCCAGCCGGGGCTGCTTTGCCCCGCGCGGCTGCTTTGTCGGCGCCCCGGAGCAGCGGTTCTCCGTACAAAATACACCGGTCCGGGGGCCCTTTTGGCTGGCGATTAGAGCCACAGGAAGTCGCCCATTTGTCTGTTTAAAAAGGGGACTGAGCAGGGAACCAGGACAGTAAATTCCAGGGCAAAAAAACCCCATGAATCTCAGTGCTGCTGTTTAAGCCAGCACAGTGAGTTGCCACACGGGAAAACACACACCGAGGTGTCTCTTCAATAGGCGACTGGAACACCAACTTAAAAAAAAAAAAAAGAAAAGAAAGGCTCTGAGGCAGGGAGCCAGACGATCAGGCTTGGCTGGTTCCACCCCCGCAAAAGAACAGCAATCAGAAATTCTCTGGATTAAGAGTTTCACAGCAAGCCAGCTGAATCCAGGACGGTCCAGCTCTGTAGGGGAGGGTCGTCCGCCATTACCGAGGCAGCCCACCACTACGGAGGTAGTCAGCCAATGCTGAGGCAGCCCGCCATTGCCAAGGCAACCCGCCATTGCTGAGGCAGCCCGCCATTGCCAAGGAAACCCACCACTACAGAGAGACTCTGCCTTAACATAGGCGGGCCACCATCGCCAGAGCAGTTCTAACTACACCCATATAAACAGGACTGCAGGGAAGTTCACTTGGTAGCTGGGCGGAGCCCACAGCAGCTCAGCAAAGCCTCTACAGGCAGACAGTGACTAGGCTGCCTCCTTGCTGGGCAGGGTAGCTCTGAAGGAAAAAAAAAAAGAAGGCAGCAGCATAACAGAAACTCATAAAGCCCTAAATCCCTGGGACAGAGCACCTGAGAACAAAAAGCAGTTTATGAGTTCTGCTGCAGCAGACCTAAATGTACCTGCCCAGCAGCTCTGAATGAACAACGGAGCTCATAGCTCAGCATTTGAGCTCCTATAAAGAAGAGACCGTCTCCTCAAGCAGCTCCCTGACTCCTGTATATCCAAAGAGACACCTCATAAAGGAGAGATCAGATTGACACTAGGCGGGTATCCTTCTGGGACAAAGATAGCAGAAGAAGAAAACTGGTAACAACCCTTACTGTTCAGCAGCTGCTGCCGGTGATCCCCAGGCAAGCAGGGCCTGGAGTGGACCTCAGCAGACCTACAGCAGAGGGGCCAGACTGTCAGAAGGAAAACCAAGAAACAGAAATAACCTCATCATCAACAAACAGAACGTCCACTCAGAGACCCAGTCTGAAAGCCAGCAACTACAAAGATGACAGGTGGATAAATCCATAAAGATGGGAAGAAACCAGTGCAAAAAGGATGAAAACACCCGAAACCAGAACACCTCTCCTCCTACAAGGGATCACAACTCCTCACCAGCAAGGGAACAAGGTTGGATGGTGAATGAGTGTGAGGAAATGACAGAATCACACTTCAGAAGGTGGGTAGTAAAAAACTTCTGTGAACCAAAAGAACACGTGCTAACCCAATGCAAAGAAACTAAGAACCTTGAAAAAAGATTTGACAAAATGCTAACGAGAACGGACAAAATAGAAAGGAATATAAGTGAATTGATGGAGCCGAAAAACACAACACGAGAACTTCGCGAAGCATGCACAAGTATCAACAGCCGAATTGACCAAGCAGAAGAAAGGATATCAGAGGTCGAAGATCAACTCAATTAAATAAAATGGGAAGGCAAGAATAGAGAAAAAAGGGTAAAAAAGGAATGAACAAAGTCTCCAAGAAATGTGGGACTATGTGAAAAGACCTAATCTACGTTTCATAGGTGTACCTGAATGCGACGAAGAGAATGAATCCAAGCTGGAAAATACTCTTCAGGATATTATCCAGGAAAACTTCCCCAATCTAGCAAGGCAGGCCAATATTCAAGTCCAGGAAATACAGAGAACACCACAAAGATATACGTCAAGAAGAGCAACCCCAAGGCACATAATCTTCAGATTCACCAGGGTGGAAATGAAGGAGAAAATACTAAGGGCAGCCAGAGAGAAAGGTCGAGTTACCCACAAAGGGAAGCCCATCAGACTCACAGCAGATCTTTCAGCAGAAACCCTACAAGCCAGAAGAGAGTGGGGGCCAATATTCAACATCCTTAAAGAAAAGAACTTTCAACCCAGAATCTCCTATCCAGCCAAACTAAGCTTCATAAGTGAAGGAAAAATAAAATCCTTTGTGAACACGCAAGTACTCAGAGATTTCGTCACCACCAGGCCAGCTTTATAAGAGCTCCTGAAAGAGGCTCTACACATATAAAGGAACAACCAGGACCAGCCACTCCAAAAACATGCCAAATGGTAAAGAGAATCAACACAAAGAAGAATCTGCATCAACTAATGGGCAAAACAGCCAGCTAGCACCAAAATGGAAGTATCAAATTCACACATAACAATATTAACCCTAAATGTAAATAGACTAAATGCCCCAATCAAAAGACACAGACTGGCAAATTGGATAAAAAGCCAAAACCCATCGGTGTGCTGTATCCAGGAAACCCATCTCACATGCAAGGATACACAAAGGCTCAAAATAAAGGGATGGAGGAAGATTTATCAAGCAAATGGAGAGCAAAAAAAAGCAGGAGTTGCAATTCTCATCTCTGATAAATTAGACTTTAAAGCAACAAAGATCATAAGAGACAAAGAAGGACATTACATAATGGTAAAAGGATCAATGCAACAAGAAGAGCTAACGATCCTAAATATATATGCACCCAATACAGGAGCACCCAGATACATAAGGCAAGTTCTTAATGAATTACAAAGAGACTTAGACTCCCACACAATTATAGTGGGAGATTTTAACCTCATTGTCAATATTAGACAGATCAACCAGACAGAAAATTAACAAGGATATCCAGGACTTGAACTCAGACCTGGACCAAGCAAACCTAATAGACATTTACAGAACTCTCCACCCCAAATCCACAGAATATACATTCTTCTCAGCACCACATCACACCTACTCTAAAATTGACCACATAATTGGGAGTAAATCACTCCTCAGCAAATGCAAAAGAACGGAAATCATAACAGTCTCTCAGACCACAGTGCAATCAAGTTAGAACTCAGAATTCAAAAACTAACCCAGAACCGCACAGCTTCATGGAAACTGAACAACTGGCTCTTGAATGTTGACTGGATAAACAATGAAATGAAGACAGAAATAGCTGCTCGGGGCATGCGGGCGTCCACCACGGTCTCTGCGCTGGGATCAGCCGGGCTCCCGGTGGAAGCGAGGGAACCCAGCCATAGCAGCCATGGCCACTACAATGGTAGCAGTTGGACTGGCCATTGCAGCTGCAGGATTTGCAGGCCGTTATGTTTTGCAAGGCATGAAGCATATGGAGCCTCAAGTAAAACAAGTTTTTCAAAGTCTACCAAAATCTGCCTTCAGTGGTGGCTATTACAGAGGTGGGTTTGAACCCAAAATGACAAAACGGGAAGCAGCATTAATACTAGGTGTAAGCCCTACTGCCAATAAAGGGAAAATAAGAGATGCTCATCAACGAATTATGCTTTTAAATCATCCTGACAAAGGAGGATCTCCTTATATAGCAGCCAAAATCAATGCAGCTAAAGATCTACTAGAAGGTCAAGCTAAAAAATGAAGTAAATGTATCATGAATTTTAAGTACATATTACTTTATGTATATGAGTACTAGCTTTTTATAATAAAATGCCTCAGAGTTACAGCTTTAAAAAATGATTTAGCACAAGCTAAATCTCAAAGCCTTGGTATAATTTTTGTTTAAACATGGGGATTTTAAATTAGACTATACTTTAGAATATTTGCATATTAATTATGGGCAAACACCATTTGAAGATTAATATTGTTCATTCCTCATTTAGCAGATGATTTGGGACCTATGTCTACTCTTCAAGGCAAAGTGAAGATGACAGTCCTTGCTCTCAGGGAGCCCTCACTTTAATGGGAGACTGATAAACTGGTCATTGGACTGTGTGATAAATAGTATGATAGAAATTCACTCAAGCTGTTCAAGTAAGGAGTCTTATGAGGTTAAAAAAAAAAAAAAAAAAAAGGCTGTTCCAGGTACAGGCAACTGGCCCAGCAACTTGGATACTTAGAACCTTGTATTTAAAAGTGGATTTAGCCACAACTTAGACCTGAGAAATTGACCTAGGGGTTTGGGTGGGTGTGTATGTATTCTATTTACATACATATATTAATAAACAGTATTTCATACATTAAAAATAGTATGATAAAGATTTCAGAGTACGGGTCTGGCACAATCAGCTCACTGCAGCCTCAACCTTCTGGGCTCAAGCAATCCTCCCACCTCAGCCTCCCAAAGTGCTTGGATTACAGGCATGAGAAGTATTTACTTTGTATTCAGCTAGCCCCTTAAAGTTACTGACCATTTATAAATTATTCCTTCAGTTGGCTATTTCTTGACAATCAAACTTCTATAATTGTTATGATTAAGCTTAAACACTGTTAGCAAAACTGAAATGTTCTCAATATCAAAATATTCAATTTGGACTATTAATTTACACACTAATAAATGTAAATGATGTTTACAAAAAAAAAAAAAGACAGAAATAAAGATGTTCTTCGAAACCAATGAGAATGAAGACACAACATACCAGAATCTCTGGGACACATTTAAAGCAGTCTCTAGAGGAAAATATAAGTGCCCACATGAGAAGCAAGGAGAGATCAAAAATTGACACCCTATCGTCAAAACTGAAAGAGCTAGAGGAGCAAGATCAAAAAAAACTCAAAGTCTAGCAGAAGACAAGAAATAACTAAGATCAGAGCAGAACTGAAGGAGATAGAGACACAAAAAAAACCTTCAAAAAATCAATAAATCCAGGAGCTGGTTTTTTGAAAAGATCAACAAAATAGACAGACCACTAGCCAGATTAATAAAAAAGAAAAGAGAGAATAACCAAATTGATGCAATAAAAAACGATAAAGGGGATATCACCACAGATTCCACAGAAATTCAAACCATCATCAGAGATTATTACAAACAACTCTATGCAAATAAACTAATAAACCTGGAAGAAATAGATAAATTCCTGGACACTTGCCTCCTCCCAAGCCTAAACCAGGAAGAAGCCGAAACCCTGAACAGACCCAGAACAAGGTCTGAAGTTGAGGCAGCAATTAAGAGCCTACCACCCAAAAAAAGCCCAGGTCCAGACAGGTTCACAGCCGAATTCTACCAGACATACAAAGAGGAGCTGGTACCATTCCTTCTGAAACTATTCCAAACAATCCAAAAAGAGGGAATCCTTCCCAAATCATTTTATGAGACCAACATCATCCTGATTCCAAAACCCGGCAGAGACTCAACAAGAAAAGAAAACTTCAGGCCAATATCCATGACGAACATAGATGCAAAAATCTTCAATAAAATACTGACAAGCCGATTGCAACAGCACATCAAAAAGCTTATCCACCATGATCAAGTCGGCTTCATCCCAGGGATGCAAGGCTGGTTCAACATTCGCAAGTCTATAAACGTAATTCACCACATAAACAGAACCAAAGACAAAAGCCACATGATTATCTCAATTGACGTAGAGAAGGCCTTTGACAAAATTCAACAGCCCTTTATGCTAAAAACCCTCAATAAGCTAGGTATTGACGGAACGTATCTCAAAATAATAAAAGCTATTTATGACAAACCAACAGCCAATATCATACTGAATGGGCGAACACTGGAAGCATGCCCCTTGAAATGTGGCACTAGACAAGGATGCCCTCTCTCACCACTCTTATTCAATATAGTACTAGAAGTTCTAGCCAGAGCAATCAGGCAAGAAAAAGAAATAAAGGGTATTCAAACAGGAAAGGAGGAAGTCAAATTGTCTCTATTTGTAGACGACATGATTGTATATCTAGAAGACCCCATCGTCTCAGCCCCAAATGTTCTGAAACTGATAAGCAACTTCAGCAAAGTCTCAGGATACAAAATTAATGTGCAAAAATCACATGCATTCCTATACACCAATAACAGACTTAAAGAGAGCCAAATCAAGAACGAAATTCCATTCACAATTGCCACAAAAAGAATAAAATACCCAGGAATACAACTAGCAAGGAACGTAAAGGACCTCTTCAAGGAGAACTATAAGCCACTGCTCAACGAAATAAGAGAGGACACAAACAGATGGAGAAACATTCCATGTTCATGGTTAGGAAGAATCAATATCGTGAAAATGGCCATACTGCCCAAAGTAATTTACAGATTCAATGCTATCCCCATCAAGCTACCAATGACTTTCTTCACAGAACTGGAAAAAATCACCTTAAACTTCATATGGAACCAAAAGAGAGCCCGCATAGCCAAGTCAATTCTAAGCAAAAAGAACAAAGTCACACTACCAGACTTCAAACTATACTACAAGGCTACAGTAATCAAAACAGCATGGTACCAAAACAGAGATATAGACCAATGGAACAGAACAGAGGTCTCGGAGGCAACACAACATATCTACAACCATCTGATCTTTGACAAACCTGACAAAAACAAGCAATGGAGAAAGGATTCCCTGTTTAATAAATGGTGTTGGGAAAACTGGCTAGCCATGTGCAGAAAGCAGAAACTGGACCCCTTCCTGACACCTTACACTAAAATTAACTCCAGATGGATTAAAGACTTAAACATAAGACCTAACACCATAAAAACCCTAGAAGAAAATCTAGGCAAAATCATTCAGGACATAGACGTAGGCAAGGACTTCATGACCAAAACACCAAAAGCATTGACAACAAAAGCCAAAATAGACAAATGGGACCTAATCAAACTCCACAGCTTCTGCACAGCAAAAGAAACAGTTACTAGAGTGAATCGGCAACCAACAGAATGGGAAAAAATTTTTGCAGTTTACCCATCTGACAAAGGGCTAATATCCAGAATTTACAAAGAACTAAAACAGATTTACAAGAAAAAAACTAACAAGCCCATTCAAAAGTGGGCAAAGGATATGAACAGACACTTTACAAAAGAAGACATACATGAGGCCAACAAACACATGAAAAAATGCTCATCATCACTGGTCATCAGAGAAATGCAAATCAAAACTACATTGAGATACCATCTCACGCCAGTTAGAACGGCGATCATTAAAAAATCTGGAGACAACAGATGCTGGAGAGGATGTGGAGAAATAGGAACACTTCTGCACTGTTGGTGGGAGTGTAAATTAGTTCAACCATTGTGGAAGACAGTGTGGCGATTCCTCAAGGACCTAGAAACAGAAATTCCATTTGACCCAGCAATCCCATTACTGGGTATATATCCAAAGGATTACAAATCGTTCTACTATAAGGACACGTGCACACGAATGTTCATTGCAGCACTGTTTACAATAGCAAAGACCTGGAACCAACCCAAATGCCTATCGATGATAGACTGGACAGGGAAAATGTGGCACATGTACACCATAGAATATTATGCAGCCATCAAAAACGATGAGTTTGGGTCCTTTGTAGGGACATAGATGAACCTGGAAACCATCATTCTCAGCAAGCTGACAGAAGAGCAGAAGATCAAACACCGCATGTTCTCACTCATAGGCGGGTGTTGAACAATGAGAACACATGGACCCAGGGAGGGGAGCACTACACACTGGCGTCAGTTGGGGGAAAATAGGGGAGGGACAGTGGGGGGTGGGGAGTTGGGGAGAGAT